CTTTAACCCGCTGAGCCACCAGGGAGGGCCACAGTGAATGATTTTTATATTAAGAAGCTGCATCTCTTTGAAGAGCCAGATTAGTGGATGAGGCGTTTTGTAGCTGAGATGCACATATGTACCTTAGTGTCCCAGGGAGGGCGGCTGTATATATAAGGGAGCACATTCGCAAGAAAGGGCTTTGCTGTTTCTTCATGCACACTCTGTTCATCTGAACTGGGGTGATGGACTGTGTAAGCCCCACTCCTCTCTTTCCCAGGAATGGTTTTAAATTCCCTGCCACTATTCCCAAACCAGGGGCTGCTTTTATTGTTCAATCCTATTTTTCATTTTTCCTTCTGTTAGTTTGGACTCATTCATCAAAAAACACACACAAAGAGAGGTACCCAGAGATAAATACTAATGCAAGAATCAACGAAAACATAAGAGAAGTACTTAGGGGGAGAAGTGGATGAGGATAGAAGGGCGAAGGGCTTAAGTGGAAGAACAGAGACCAGGAGAAAAGAAAGAGAAGGGGCTAAAAAAAAAAAAAAAAGAGTGACAAACTTTTGCCTCCCCAGGATGAAGAATCTATAGGGAATGCATTGATTTTTTCCTACAACCATTTTATAACACTACCAGTTCCACAGCTGAATCCAGGCAAATTAAGATTAAGTATCTAATCTTTCCCTGTTATAAAGCAGGATCCATATTCGGTTTGCTAACATAAAGGCCATCACCCTACTATCTCTCTGGCTCCTTCATTGCTACCTGGACAAGTTGTAAATAGCCACACACAGTTGGCAACTGATCTTTAAGTTCACTTCACTTGCTCCGATAGGGGCACAGAGGAGCTACTTTGCTTATCCCTTCTAATTGTTTCCTATGAGATCAAGACATTCTTTACCAAAGTAAAGAACTGAAAAATTCTAAGAACATCTTCATCCCTCTATCTCTGATATAAACATTCTCACCTGAATTGGATTTCCCAGAAGACTGAGAACTCGAAGGAGAGGTAGATGTTCAATGTGTTCTATTTCATTCAGTTCAGCAATCTGATGAAAGAAACCACAGATTAGCTACAGACCAAATGCACAAAGACAGTGAAAAACAAAATATAAATTCTTTCAATGCAACTCATTTTTTTAAAAAAACTGATGTTGAATATCCAACTTTTTAGTGATAATTCTGCAAAGCCCCCTTGACAGAGAATCACTTCATGCCCTTCAGTCTCCATGAACACACACAGTCACATATTCTTTTTTCTTCTCTGGTCAGATGACAGTGAGAATTTTCTCCTCTCTGTTTATTTTAAAACAGAAACGAAACAGTATGTAGAATCTGTATCAAAAACACATGCAAATTCCTGGTTATCCTTCTCTCCCCCATGAATTCTTCCTCATCTCCCAGTTCCCCATCTCCCTCCTCAGCACGTCTGCTACCTGGTTATTTTGGCTGGTGATGCCGTCTGACTGCCTGCAAATGCATAGGGAAATCATGTTTGCAATAAGGTAATTATAGTGTAGAAAGATAAAAATGAAAATCACATAATATATTCCTTAGTGGAGGTGTTACACAGGCGTTCACCCCAACATTTTTTGTTGAATTGCACATTTATGTTTTATACTTTTCTCTGTATAGGTTATATTCTACCACTCTAAATGTAAGGGGGGGGGGAGAGATTGCCTGTCAGTATCATAACCTGACTAAGGGTAGATCTTAGGTTGCAACAGACCTAGATTCCCCAATAAAAACCAACAGGTTTCTTTAAAACACCCAAATAGCATAGACTATAGGATAGACTAATTCTTGAGTTATCCAACCACAAGACATAGGGAAGAGGCAAACTGCTCCCCAGGGGCCAGGAGGAGGGACATAGGTACCACATTCAAAGGATGCCACTTTCTAACACACAACACCCAAGGTGAAGTCCCAGTTCCAGGTCACAACCTGTGCGTGGTAATCTGGTGATGGTGATGTTACGCTGTTACACACAGATTTCTCCTGAAAACAACTAGCCTGCTCACTCGACTGCCATTTGGAAAAGCTGCCAAAAAGGTAGGATGCATTTTGCTCATTCAGAAAGGTAGAAAAGTCAGCTAAGTGCATACTGTTCAGCCAGACAGCTTGCTTTCCATCTGGGGTCACGGCTCTTGCTGTGGGACCTGACACAAAAGTTCAAGGATGTTTTCCCACAGTCAGCTTGTCTCACTAACAAGTCCCGGCCACCTGGACTTACAGACATCACTGCTTAGTGGGACCTGGCACATGCTTTCAAAAGGGCAACCTGATATGTTACACGTGCGAAAGCTATGAGCCAGCAATCCCACTCGTGAGATGTGTACCCAGAGAGACCAGCTGACAGGAAAACATTAGAGGCAGGGACATTCCTTCTGTTCTGTGTAAAAGTAAAAAGTTTTCTAAACTCCTAAAAACTCCACCCTGGTGGGGTGACAGGAGTCTTGATAGAGTCCCATTTTAGAAGACAGTGACATTCAGAGTGACTGACATGCAGGGATCTCCTTGACATGTTGCAGACACCATGGATAGAGTGACTCTGGACTATAGAATTTATATTATCACTAAGGCATCATCTGGGATCAGCTGGTCTTCTGACCCTTTTCAGATGCAAAGGATCCCGCTTCCACCACTGCAGGAAAGCCGGCAAGGGCAGAGGGGAGCAGTGTGGAGTCGTCCTGCTTCTGCTGAGCTGGCACCCGATGCAGGTGCTGGCTGCCCCGCAGGTGACCTCCCTCCCCTGCAGGGCCCGCTCCACAGCCAACCACTCTCCTGTCTTCACCACACAGATGCTGAGGCCTAAGGCTGTGTGTCCTGATAATTACAGAAGCTATAAAGACACAATGCTCCCAACAACCTGGTGAAAGTCTATGTTCTTAATTCAAATTATTTGTAACTTCTTTACTAAGAATAAGAAAACAATGGAAATGGTCTAAACCTATGACAAGCGGGGGAGAAATTATGTTACTTGGTATGTGATCTTGGGCAAATAGTTTATGTCTCTAAGGCTCTTTTTCTCTTGAGCTAGCATGGGCTGACAACACTGTACCTGATTCAAGGGAGCAGGTTTCCCCTCCCCAGTGTGTCAGCCCCTGCCCACCACCTAAGCCCCCTCGTCAGAATAGTTCTGTCCTTAAAGGCCCTTCACGCATGTGCAGCCAAGGTCTCATCTGCATCACTGACCCCCGTTTCCATAGACACCCTTTTATCAAGCTTCCTTTGGCTTGTTGGCCACTCTCTACTTCCCAGAAGCCCATGGAGAGCAGCTCAATGCACTTTTTCTGTTGTTGGGCCGTTTCTTTCTAGTCCATGCTCACAAACCTCACTGTCTAGACTGAAGGATGTCAGCTGCTTGAACGTGCAGATGCTGACAGCTGGCATAAGTTCTTTCAGAGATGTTCAATCGGAAGGGACTTGTCAACACTCCTCCCCTGTGCCTCCAACATACCACTTTTCACATGGTCCAAGGCTCAACCGCATTTCCTAGAGGAACAACTAGGGATGACCATTTCACTTTTTTCACTGCTCCATGCACAGGAATCTGTGCAAAAATATTGCTTTTCAAACTGGGGTGGGGGTCTATCCACTACTTGATCCTGTGGTCCATTCAATGGGCCGAATCACAACTTTTCACTTGCAAGTTTTTGAATGGAATAAAGTAGAAAAAGATATTGGACATTTTTGGTATGAGTGTTTTCAAGTGAAAGTAAGTATTGTTTCAAGAAATTTTGGTTTATGGGTGTGTCTGCTTACAACATAAAATGTATTTATTACTGCTGGTCTCAGCCAGAAGGTTTGAAAAGCTCTGATTGACAAGGATTTACACTAAAATGCTGATGGTTCAATTGTGACTTTCTTCTTTACACTGTTCTGTATTGATTTTTAGAATTTTCAGTATAGTAATAATCTTCAGTCATCCTTAGGCTAAACAGCATAGGGATTCCTACTAGAATCAGTGAAAGGTCAACACTGCCTGCTATCATCACTATGATTCAGAATTCAGAATCATTAGCCAAGGAGAAAATATGACAAGTAGAAAAGAACAAATTAAGTACAGAAACGAGACGCAAAATTATTATTTGCAAGGGAGATGATTATCTACTAGATACCAAGAGATTGTTATTAGATCACTCAGAAAACAAAACTTCCAAGTAACTTCCACAGTGACTACATATAAAATCTGTGTTGCTATGAACACACTGTACACATACTGTCTCATAATCATTCACTGTACAGCAGCAATGTTCAGAGTAAATTACTGGCAAGGATCCCATACACCAAATAAAAAACTTCTAAAAGCCTAAAAAAATCTGAAAAAAAAAAAAAAAAGTACAGAATTTGCACTAAAAGATACCTAAGAATCATAAGGGCTGTTGGGGGGAAAATATGCCTGAGTAGAAAGAAGAAATATTTACCTGACATCAAACTTTCTTAAATGAAGTACAATCAAAATCTCATGGAACTTTTTAAGTAGTGGGACAGTGAGCGTGACAAGACAATTCTACAGTTGATAGGGGACATTCACTGGTCGGATAGCAAAGACATTTTCTAAATTATTGCCCCTAAAATCGGGGAAATTTATCTTGGCAGGCATCAAAAATCTGTGACAAAGCTAAATGCTAAAGTGACAGCAGTGACGACTATTGCAGCCACGGCAGGAGCAGTGACAGTAATAGAGTGAGCAGCAGTGTTGATGATGATGATAAACACACTACTTGAGTAAAGATCAACACAGTGGACAGGTTAGTCCCTAAGTCTGTGACACACACCTATAGGAAAGACAATGTCCTCTTGAAGATGTCAGAGAAGACACGATAGGATGTATTACAGTCTGGGGGATTAATTGGTGCTAATGAAAAAGAGAGCAGTGCAGAGGAAGTGGGGAGCTAGAGAGAGCTAGTCACTGTGAGGGCACAACAGAGGCCTCAATAGGAGGCTTTGCACAGAAGCATTAAGGAAATGAAGTGTTTCTGAAATTGAGGGGAAAGCTTCTAGCAGAGAGACCCACAACGTGTCATTCCAAGACCCTTCTGCAAAGGAGCACTGATGTCCACCAAGCTGCCTGGGTGCTGGTCTCCGATCCGAGCCATGGCAGCAGCTGGTCGTTCACCTAAGTCAGCCAGCTAGGACCAGGGCCCCAGGGTCAACATCCTATACTGATATCAGCAATCCAGTGCTAAGTCAGGCACAGTTCAAGTGAGCAGATGGAGGCCACTGTCACGGATTGAGTTAGGGTCCACAGATTCAGGGTGAAGTGATGTTAGCCTCGGTCTGAAAGTTCAGAAGATACTTAGACAGGTGTCGAAGCTGCATTAGGACCTAAGTTTAAAGTTGCACACATTATTTGTTTCTGTGCAAAGTCGAGCCTTTCCAGAGGGCAGCTGCTGAGACTTCTGCTACCTTAGCAATGACCTAGAAGCTCAGGCTACTCTGCCTGGGTGCCAGCCCGTGTAGTGAATGTCAGGAGTCCCAACACCTCCAAAGACATCCTTCCTATCTTGCTAGGTGGAACAGAGACTGGGATCTGTCATTCCAGGCTCAAGCACCTCTATACTAATGTTGTAACCCCTTGGAGGCTCAGGTACCCATAGGGATTCTCTGGCCCGACCCTTACAGGATTAACAAGCAACTCCAGAGAGAAATTAAGTTTTCTTAGAAGCCACAGGGTGTTCAACTCCCCCAAATTCCTTTTGGGGTAGGTGTGAGGATCTCCAATGAAATCAAAAGTAATAGCCACACACTCTCGTGCCCGAGACACGAAGGGCTTCTACCACTGAACAACAATCAAAAAGAGGTCCTCTGTGAAGAGTGACTTCCTTATATAAAGCATCACAACCATAGAGAGAATGGTAATGGCTTTCCTCTGGAATAGTTCTCATCAGCATTCAGGGAGAATGATCTAGAGTATGGACCAGCAAACTACAGAAACATGGGGATCAGGAACTGTACCAGGACTGCTGCTCTCACTAGGATTTCCATTATTTCCATGGTTCTGTTGGTGTGTATTATCGAGGGCATTTTGTTAATCCTTACATCAATGCAGAAAAGTAACTGGGAACACATCCTTGGAAATAATGCCATTGACACAGAGAAGTAAAGTGGCTTTCTCTAAGTGACTGCCAAATCAACATCTTGCTCCCAGGAACAAAAGGACTGAGGTTGCAATAGCATCATCATTTGGGGGGTGGGGGGAGTCTACATGCTAGAAATGACATCAAAAGATCAAGGTCTCTACAGTGGAAGCAGGTAGAGGCCCCCAACTTCTAGCTGGTAACGAACATTCACAAAGGATCTTAAAAGAGATGTTGAAAGGGTCTCAACAACTAAAACCAAGTAAACAATACTGGTGAGAGAGCCACCAAGAAATCAACATTCTGGACAGAAACGCTCCCACAACAAACAGTGGCCACGCTGTGTTTCTTTCAAATAAAAAGTTCTCCATCTCTGATATACAGTATTTATTCCCAGCAGCACTGGAGAAATCTCTGAGGAACTCTCAGGATGGCTCAAAGTATATTTCAAAGTACCGTTGGTTGCTCCCCAACCCACCCAGTGGAGAGCCCGGAAATTATGTTGTTATGGACCCAATTGTTGCCAAAGGATCCCCCATTCTTTGGGACATCTTTTTACAATGGAGTCTCTAACATTTGAAAATTATAAACTCATTTTTCACTTAATGGTGCCCTCCCTCCCCTTTCTCAACTTTTTCAAATGTAATTCGGAAAGTTTCCTGAAATGAAAAACACAAAATTACTCATGAGTTCTTTCTAGACCTGCACGATTTAATCTAGTAGCTACTGGTTATATGTGGCTACTTAGAATATGGAACATGGCGAGGATGAATTCAAATGGACTGTGGCAAAAACTTGGCATGAAACACTAGAATATAACATACCACCTCAATCATCTTTATGTACATTACATGTTAAAATATTTTAGGTTATAGGGCTTTCCCTGGCAGTGCAACAGGTTAAAAACACTGCATTATGAAGCTCTCTGAAGCCACTGCAGCACGAGTTCAACCCCTGGCCAGGGAGCTGACCCACATGATGTGGTAGACCTCTCCTGACCCGCCCGCCCGCTGCTCCTCTCAGCAGTGTACTTTGTAATCTGCCTATTCTGCTCTCCACTCTGTCTCTGGCAAATCCTCTCACTCACCACACCTCAGGCCTGTACCCCAGTTCTGTAAGCATAAGTAAATAAATCTTTTAAAAAATTTTACATATATTGTGTTAAACAAAATGTTATTAAAATTAATTTCACCTGTCTCCTCTTTAGCTTTTAATGTGATTATAAGAAAATTTAAAATCACCTATGTGGCTTGCAGTTATTGCTTGTATTATATTTCTGTCAGGAAGCACACTTGTAGAGCATTACATCATACACTTTTTTTGCGAGGAAATAGCATTTTACTCACTACCTAACCCAGCAGGGTTAAGGAGGCAACCCATTCTACACTGGGATCCCAGTCTTGCTGTTTGTTATTTAACTTTAGGCAAATGACTTAACCTCTCTATGCCTCATCTTCATCTGTAAAGAAAGCAGTTAATAATGGGGTTGTAATGACAATCACAGGAAATGACATACGTAAAATGTTTAGAACAGTGTCCTGTGTGTAAGCACTCAGTACCTCTAGACTTTACACTATAGTTATTATTATTATTCTCACCACTACTCCTTTTCCTAAATCCTGAGACACACCGAGTCAGGATCTAACAAGTGCAGGTCACATTTCCAACACTAAAATGGTAAGAACCATTTTAGTGGCAATTTCATGAAAAAGACAAACTACATGAAACAGATTGTACTGACTTCATAGGCGACACCACCAGTGACTAAAAGTTACCCAGTAACATTAGCTTTAGAAATTGACGAATTATATGACAAATCCAGTGAAAAAGAGAATAAAGACTTTTGTCTGATTGGAAATCCACTTCTTGCCCTACCTAGTGATTGACTTTTCTTGGTGTTTAGAAATCTAACAGGTGGTGGAACTGACGGGAAAACCGTCATCAGACATGACTGGACATAAGCATGGTCACAGCTGAGCAGAGCCTCCCACATCACCCCAGGGAGGACAATTGTCTCATCAGGGCCAGCCAAACTTTTCACTTTCAGGAAGAAGTAAACACTCAACTCGCTTATGAAATCTTTTCCCCGAAATATGACAAAGTGCAAGGTACAAATATAATCACTATGTAGACTTTATAGTATAAGAAGTCAGCTCGAGCTACCAAATCAATATGCCATATGCCATGATTAGGAGCACAAATGCTTTATTAAACATCAAATTTAATTAAGAGTGAAAACCAATGTATATATAATTTTTGAATTAAAGTTTGCATTAAGCCAGATATGGAAATTTGAATAAATCCAATCTCCAAGTCATACATATTAGGAGTAATTCACTGTTGTTACCAGTAGAAGTTAAGGATTTACTCCCTTGTGCCTCTTATCCTCAATGGCAGGGGTGGCCAACAGCCTGAGGCTACTGTTACATCTCCCTTTTCCTGCTCTGGCATTTCAGACATGCCTATGGCATCTGTCCAAACATACACATCTTTTTCAGAAGGCCAAATGCAGTTGATAATTGTCAGCATGTTACAGTTTAAAATTTTAAAACAAGATGTTTGGGAATCCATTTTTCAAAAATGAAAAATTGCAATTACTTATATATATTTTTAAGTCTTTCTGCAACTATAGATCCAGGAAGTTTTCTAGAATAATGTTTACTGTGGCACTTAACATGACAACCCTTGAGAAACCAGCCAAAGGTCCAGGTAAGTCCTCTTAGGGATACTGAAGCCAAGGCACATCGAGGGTGACATTACCTTATTATGCTCTAAGTTGATGATTTCCAAGAACTCATGATTCTCTAAGCCTTGGAGGCTGCTGATCTGATTGTAGGACAGATCCACGAGCTGCAGGCCTTTTAGTTCCTCCAAACCTGTGATCTTCTCAATCTGGTTATTGCTCTAAAATGGATAAAAACGCTTAATATCTTCAAGGCTTCTAGCAGGAAAGAACACAGTGCGACATTTTCATTCTGGATACTGCCCCAAATCTCCCAAGTAAGCCCATGCCACGGCTCTCATCAATCACCTCCCTGACCGCATAGACAGACACCCAGAAAGGACTTCCAGATTTTCAGCTGAAAGATTAGAATACAGTATTTCACCACAGTTAGAACAAGACAAATGTTAAAATTGGTAAGAAAGACAGCAGCTAAGTAGCATAAGCATGCAATGGTAGCCTGACTCCATGTTTACCTTTAGAAATACACATGTGACATGACTCCTTATCACTGTCACAACAGATCAGTTGAGTTTGTTATTTCTACATGGTTTTCAGAAACATTCTAAGTACAGTCACTTCATGTCAGTCATCTCCTGTTGTTTATGCTCTTGTGCAGTCCCTCCTCTTGACTCTACATTGGATCTATGACTTGTCTTTATCAAAAGAAAATGGCAGAAGTCTCCCAGCCCCAAGGCAACACTTGAGAGGCCGGCATCTTCTCCACACAAGACTCCTCACATGGAGTCCTAGCTGTCATGTGAGAACTCTAACTACGTTCTTGAAGAGAACTGGTGAACAGGTCACGTGTTGGGGAGGTAAGATGCAGAGGGGCGCTGAGAGTAAAAACCCAGCCATTCCAACCCTGTCAGCCTGCTAGCTGGGTGAGGCAGTACCAGCATTAGAACTGTACAGTGTACCTGGCTTCGACTCCAGAATTACTAGTTAATAAAATGGTCAACTTGTAACATTTCTCCACACTACAATTGACGTGGTGAGTTAAACAATAGATAACCAAACTAAGTTCTTCAATAACTTACACGTAAGTATCTTCTTCTATTATGAGCATAGAACAAAGATTGATATTTGTTAAGAACAAAGATTGAAGACTCAGTAGTGTCCTCTTTCCCAACTCTAACTTCTGTGTACTGAGAACTGTAGTGATCATAGTAGTTTGCATTTTCTTGCATGTTTTCCAATATATTTGTAATTCCTGGGGTTCCTTGGTCTCCACAGGGTCCAAATATGCTAAATTTTTAGTTTAAATTGAGAGTCACAACAAAGAGTAATTTTGAAGTTTCAATTAATGCCACATTATGCCCACTTTTTAACTTTTAAAAACATTGAATAGGCCCTCCCTGGTGGCACAGCGGGTTAAAGCACAGCACTGAGAATCTAAAGCCGCTTCCGCATGAGTTCAATTCCTGCCTGCCCCGGAGG